CGAGCGAACGGTCGCCCAACGGTCGTCGTTCGCGTCGTTGGCGTTGATGTTGTTGCTGCTGCCATTGTTGTCGCTTCATTAATATCGTGCATCCTTAATCGCATTATTAGCATCATTCGTATTCCACTTCTTCACAGACATGGCTGGTCGGGCGCGCGCCGGAATGGACTGCGAGCCCGCGGATCTGCGGCGCGCGGGCGCCGAGTGCGCAGATTGGGGCACGCGCGCCCGAAACGCGAAACCAATGCCGCCTGATTAGCGACGGAGTGCGCCGATCCGGCGCGGAATCGGCCCCCGCCGCCGATCCGCGCACCTTCGTCGGGGCCCCTGACCGCGCGGCGACCTCGAAATCCCCAAAAAACCTCGACGCGCGGCCCAGCACCGCGCCGGGCGCCCCGGCTGCCCGAAGCGTTGCCGGGGAACGACCGAACTCCAGAACCGCGCGCTCTCATTCGCTCATGCCGCGCGCCGGGGCGCGCGGCGAAAATAAGACAGGGGCAGCCCATTCGCGCCGCTTCGCGGGATTGGCGGCACGACGGGCGCCGCGCGCATCGCATCGCGCGCGGCAGGAGGGGCATGGGGGATGGGGGGGCAACGAGCTGGGGAATGATCCGAATTTCGCCTGGAACGCATCCAGCCGAAGGCAGCTGGTCATGCGCCAGGGCGCCAGGCGTCGCGTGCAACGCACGTAAGGAAGCATAATGCAACCAGAGACCGGATTCATCGCGCTCTCAGGTGCTCGCGTGAGAGAGGCGGGGGTCGATGTGGTATTGTTCGCGAGCGTCTAGCCTGAAACTCATCAAGCCCTCTACTTGCTGCTTTGCATAAACGCGCCGCCTTACTGGTAATCGCGCGATGTGGGATGCCACCGGCGCTTGGAGTAGATCCAGCTTTCCCGGTCTGCTCAAAGCAGCGTGTCCCCATGCTGTCATACTTGTAAAATTCGGCCCAAGCAGCCCCCATTCTTGCGTCTAGTTCTGTGCCCAACTGTCCGCGAGAATGTAAAGTAGCACCCAAATATGTTATATTTCGCTTGTCGGCAATGAACTGCCCGGCCGGCGCCCTCAACGTCGCGTCGCCGTCTATTCGGATCATCTGGGATGTCCCAGTGCAGCCCCATTCCAACCCGCGCCCCCGCCGAAGCGATGTTGTCTAACAGATGCTGATAGCTAGTCTGGCTTTCCCCGGCGAGCGGCGCGTCGTCGGCGCGCGGCAGCGCCAGGAGATAACAATCCAGAAGCCACGTCGAACTGGTCATTGCCGCTCAGGCAATTCACGGCGCCCCCCAAGAAAACGGTCGCCACCGCGACGGAGAGGAATGGCGACAACGGGCGCCCCTGTGACATTCCCGACGCCTGCTTTCCTGCAGAAGATTTGATAGCCCCGTCGGCTGCGCAAAATCGCCCGGCCTCGCGCGCGCCCCACATCAGTGCAAGCATGTTGAAGGGTGCCCCTGGGCGGCGCAGAGCAGTCAATAAGGCTTCGGCGTTGATGGAATCAAATGCGTCCTTCCATTCCAGGGCAACAGACATAGCCCCGCCATCTTTCCCGGTGCGCGCGAGCTCGAGATGGCGGCGCACTGCGCGAAGGCCGTTTGTTGCACCTCGCCGACGGCGGACAAGGCATTGAGTTTCGGTCAGTCGGTCCTCTGCCCCTGCCCGTTGCAGACGACGCAATGGGGGGCTGGTCAGGAATTTGCGCGCCACGCAGAGTAAACTAACAAGCTGGTAACTTGTCACACGCGTGGATCGGGCCCTGCGCTCGTGCATATTGTGCTCGCAGGGGCGCGCCGCCATGCTTCGGGAACAGCGCCCCTCCCGCGCTGAAATTCGCAATTATGTGACCCGTTCCAGCCCGCCAGGTGTCTGCGAAATGGATTTCCAGCACTCCGCGGGAATGTCGCCTGGCCCTGCTGCCGTGCCCATCCTGAGTTTCCGCGCCCCGCCCCCTCCCCCCCCCCCCCCCGCATGCTGCGCGGTGAAAGCCGACTCGCCGACGGGGTGGGGCGGCCCCTGGGCCGCGTTGCTGGCCGAGTTTGCGGGCCGTGCCCCCCGCTGCACTTGCCCCAAATAGGTCGCCATGGTATATGCGCGCTCATGGCTTGCAACGAATTGCCCCTATCATTTTTGAATCCTGCCTTGCTTGCGTCGTCGCGACCTGCTGAATCTCCGAATAACGCCCCCGCGCCCCGAGGCTAAGCCCGTCCACTTCGCCGCGTCGACGTTGCAAGATCGCCGTGCTTCATTCGGCGAGCTTCGTTGATCTGTTGCATCAGTCCTAATGTTCGTTGAGATTCCCATGGTCGCGCAACTCCAGCTCGGCGGGGCGTAGCGCTGCGCGCGCACCCCGCCCCCGCGAAGCGCCGGCGCTCCAGGGGCTCGCGCGGCCGGCAACCTCGCCCAGAAATGGCTCTCTGCGCATGTTGGTTGCGCTGCGGGGTCTCGAAGCAAATATCTGTCTCTTGGTGGTTTGCGCGGCAATGGGTCGCAGCGCTGAGCGCGCTGCATTTACGCAGTCATCAGGTGGCGGCCCGCGGCCAGCGCTGCTTCGCAAAGCGCTCGTCAACTCCGCGCATGGGCTACTGGGGGGGCATCGCGCGCGGCGCATTCCAGAATGTTGCAGTTGTCATCGGAAATGCAGGCCCCGGCGGTTCGGCGCCCGCCTCCGCGAAGGAAGCGGCGTCTTCCAGAAGGCCGCTCGAAATAAACGCATTCGCTAATCTGCGTTCGAGGCCACTGCTCAACTCCACGAGCAAATCCTGACTGGGGACTTCGGCTCGACGCGAGGCCCGCCCCCCCATATGAATGGCCCTATGGTCGTGGATTCCCCGGCGTCTGCGCGCCCATCTCGCGCGCTCGCGTCCGCGGCTGAGCGCGCGCGGAACTCGGCGCCCAGGAGTGCTCCGAAACATGCGTCTCTCCGGCAAGGGCTTCAAGTTGCGGGGCGCACGCGCGCCGACGATCCCGAATAGACGACACCCAACTTTGATTCTTGTTTGCGAGATTCGTTCAGACACGCGCTGACGCGACCCCGCAAGAGGCGCGTGGCTGGAAGAGATGCCGATGCCAGATGCATATAAGATGCATTCTGCATGTTCCCATGCGGTTTGTGATTCCCACAACTTCGCTCCCACGTCAAACCGCGCGCATTCCACGTCGCGGACCGCAGTCCAGAATGGCGTTCATGAGGATGCGACCCAGCAGGACGGATGGCTCCTTTGCCCGCGCTGCCCGCGGGGAGAATCGGGCGCGGAGAAATCTCAGGGCCAGCGGACCCTGAGGGTGAAACAGCCCGGCGCCCTTGGCACCTGCAAGTATCGTCTTCCCCTTGAACGGCCCTTTCGGCCGCGTTGGCCGCGCTCGGCGCCTAACGATCCAAAGCTCTTTTTAAAAATTATTGTCACACTGGGGATGCTCGAAGATCTTCCCATGTCTCCCACTCCGATTCTAACAATTTCTTGTTTAGCTTATGGTTGACAACGCGCACTTTGAGAATGTGTGTTCCCCCGGGGTTTAGGACGCCAGTGTCCCCGTCGACCTTGACATAGTCCCACTGCGTCAGAACATAACGAAGGCCAAATAACAATGAAGTGGTCGCCCTCTCCTCAGTAAGAGCGCCCATGTTGCACCGTGCCCGGCGAGATCCTTGCCTTGGGTGTTGTTGTCCACGCGCTTCCAGAAGAATCGGCAAGGTGTGTTGGGAGAGCTCTGGAGATGTCAGTTCGACGAATAGCATGCCTTTTGAAACTTTCTTCAGGGGGCCTTCTTTGATCGGTATTCGAAGGCTTCGTGCACCCAGCGTCTTCCAAAACTTTAGGTATGGATTGTCCACATCGGCGAGCGCATGGCGTGGTGGCCCTCCATGTACGAGTGTCAATGTGGTGCGGGTCCCTGTCGCCACAGATGACCCCATAGATCTCGGAGTGGTACTTGTTTTGCGCTGCCACTTCTTCCCTCATGTTCTCGATGCGGCAGTCAAAGTGGTCTTGTAGTTGTCCAGTGTCATCTCCCATGTTTGTGATGCGTGAATGTTATCCTCCATGCTTGCTTCCATGGTCGTTTCGAGATGGCGGACCTCGGTATCGATAGTCTCGTGAGGATGTTTGAACTCGTTCCAAAAACTCTGGATTGCCCGCATCGTGGGCTCAAAATGCGTCGTGAGCGTCTTCCGCATTGTCTGCGTCGTGGTCGGCCCGTTTTCCTCCAAATCGTCGTTTTCGTCGCCAGTGTTGAGCGACCCGGTTCCTGTAGACGCGGCGCCGCGGGGAAATCACATTGCAGGTGTTCACTACGTTCGCCTTGAATTGCTTCGTCCTCCATGGGCGCAGCAAGACGTCCAAGCCGTGCCTGTTTGAGAACGCTTCTAGGCGGCGGCGTGGCAAGAACATGTACTTCAGGACGTTCTGGACGTCTCGGCCGTGATCCAGCTGCTTGCTGAACGTCATCATGTGGTGGCTGCAAAATGTCCTTCACGGGCGTGCCCGGCTTACGAGTTGACGCAGTCAATTCCCAATCTGCACACAGAGAGAAGCAAGAGAAACATGTATGTACGTAAAGTGATGGGGAACTGGATGTGTACAGTTTGGGGAAGGCCTCGAGCCTTGAAGCGTTGAAGCCTTGAACCAAAATGGCTATGGCTTAAGCTTTGTTCCTCGAGCCGTGCGGTGGCCCCGAATCAGCACTGACTCACCACACGGTGTGGTCCCCACACCGTTCGGGCCCCCCCGACTTAATCCATGCTTGTCTCCTCGAGGGGGGGCCAGGACGGGACAGGACCCTGCAGGATCGGTGTATATGCCCTCCTGGCTTGGACAGGGAGGCATGATTCTACGGCGCCCCTGGGCCAAGGATCAGCCTGGCCATGGTCGGTGTGGGTATCTAGTTGGTGCCCTCCTCCTCCGCCTCTTCTCTCCTCCTCCTCCTCCTCCTCCTCCTCCTCCTCCTCCTCCTCCTCCTCCTCCTCCATGTGGGTTGCATGGCCTCCAAGGAATCCCCACCCGCCTCATGGGGCGAGGCGCGGCGCCTCCCCTCGAGCGCGCGCGTAGCTGCAGCGGGGGGGCGCCGCGGGCGCGCGCGCCGCGAGCGGCCGCGGGCAGCGCCGAGAGCGCTCCGAGCCGTCAGGGGAGCAGGCGGGGGGGACGGTGGCTAAGATCGGTTCGGCTCGGCATGGCAACAATATGCGCGCCGTCTTGCCGAAGAGTCTCTCGCCCCGGGGACCAAGGGGGGGTACACTGGCAACTACCGTCGCCCCTTCCCGCGAAGGGAGGCCCTAGTCCTGAGCCCCAGACGAAGGGGGGCGAAGGGGGGAAGGGGACGGGGGGGGGAGGAGGTGGGGGTGATGAAGGGGGGTGAGATGAAAGAGGATGAGGGAGAGTGGCGGAGGACGGAAGGAAGGGCGTGGGGGGGTGGAAGGGGGATGCGGGAGGGGAAAGTGAGGGCGTGAAGGGGGAGGAGACGGCGACGAGAGTTGGAGGAAGGAAGGGGAGGGGGGCTAGTTTTCTGGGTCTAGGTTCGTCCTGCGGGCGCATGGTTTTTTCTACCAGTAGAACTTACCATCCAGGGTGTTAACGGTTGCCAGCAAATTCAACACAAAGTCTGGCGCCCCCTATTGTTGGGGCCACCAGGCTGTGCGCCTGGGGATTCAGCAACTGAGGAGCTTATGTTCCAACATCGCGCAGAGGAAATTCGAAACGCTGCAATATCTTGCGGAGCTGACACATTGGCAACCGAGATTATCTTGCTATCAGCTCGCAGAGCACATGTGACTGCTCGGTTGTTCCGAAACCGAGCTTTGAAGGCTGTGAGAACGCGCGCGACCCATGCGGGCCCGCAAGGCGTTCTTCCCCCTTGTCCGAGACACGCAATTCCTCAATTCATGGGTGCCCTGTTCCAAGGCCTGCAATGGAGCCCGCAGGTTGCCGATGTGCCCCCGCAAGACGTGGCGCCAGGGGCGCCCGAGGGCCGTGCCAGAACCTCAAGGTTCGACGCGAACCCCAGCGCGGCCACTCGTGATCTACGACACTGCAAACAAGAAATCGGGGGGGGGCCGCACGCAACGATCTCCAACGACGCCTCGCCGCGACGACGCTGCGGCGGCTGATGGCCCTCGACGGTTCTATAGTTCGTCCAGTGTCCCATGTCGCCTGGTGCCCCGGGCCACGAAATCGAACTACTGAACCGCGCTCCCGAGGCCAAAATTCAGAATAACAAGAATGATAGATTTGCGCCCCCAAGGCCACGAGCTCTAGAACAACACCCGTGGGCCCGCGCCTCCAAGGCCACAAACACTGCAAAACATAAGATTGACCCCACGCCTTCGACGCCACGATCGCCAGAAGAGAAACTGTGGCTCAGCGCCTTCGAGACGACGATCCTCTGGGAACTTCAAGGCCACGGTCTGTAGTAGAAAACTATGGTTCGGAGTCTTGGATGCAACGGCCCCCTGGTGAAACTCAATAGGTTCGCGCCTTCGAAGCAACGATCCCTGATAGCAACATGTCCGCGCCGTCGAGGCCACGATCCGTTGAAACAAGAACACTATGTCCGCGCCTTCGAGGTCACGACCCCGTGTAAAACTAAATATTGGTCCGCGTTCCGCGCCTTCGAGGCCACGATCCCTCGATCTAACAAAACCCACATGACACCCTTGCGGCAGAATGCCCCGCAACACTTTACACAATTACGATCGGGGGGCAGAACTAAATGTCGCAATGGGAGGCCACGATAGGGTAACACGATGCGGGGATCAGGATAGGAATAGGGATATCGGAGGTGCGGGGGTGAGATCGAAGTGAAAGAGAGCCCTTCTCCCCTGGGAAATCGGTTTCGGTTTCGTGTTCGTGTCGTGCGTGCTGGCGAAGCGAAACTGCGTGGGCGGGCGAAAGGAATGAACCATCCTCTGGCTAAGTCGCCGCCAGGCCAAAAGTCCGCCTGCCCGGGTTGTCCGGCGGTGGCCCAGGGTGTCCCGAGGATGTCTCGCCGGTGTCCCGCTGGTGTCCCGTCGGTGCCCCGTAGTGAGATCGATAGTGAGATCGAGAGTGAGACAGATGGTGAGATCGATGGTGAGATCGATTGTGAGAGCGATCGTGAGACCGATAGTGAGCTCAATACTGATATAGATCGTGAAATCGAAAGTGAGGTCGATCGTAAAATCGATAGTGAGATCGATCGTAAAACCGATAGTGAGATCGATAATGATAACGACAAGGAAACCGATAGTGAGACCGATAGTGATAATGCGTTGGTTCCTCCCCCCCGCACCTTCTTATCGCCTTAAGGGTGGTCGTACAGGTGGAAAAGCAGGGCTAGGGATATAGGGATATAGGGATATAGGGATACAGATACAGGGAAATGGATGGTGTTATAATATAGGGATAGGGGTAGAACAAAAAGGTCAGAATAGAGAGACCGGATAAGGACGGCAATGGGAGGCCACGGGAGGCCACGGGAGGCCACGAGAGGCCATGGGAGGCCACGGGAGGCAACGGGAGACGACGGGAGGCCACGTCGCCCGCCCGATTTCAGAACTGGCAGCGCACCTACTAGTTTCTTAGACAACTTGCATCGGACCCTTACAGCCAAACTGTTTGGGGAACAGTGGATCCGCGCTTCGAGGCCGCCACAATTTGTACTACAAGCAAAGGCTGCGCACCTTCCAGGCAACGATACCTCGTGAGGACTCCGTGCCTCGAGTCGACGAAACACAACGATGACCCTGCGCCTTCGAATCCAGGATCCCCTGGAACACACAGCGGCTCCGCAACTTCCAGGCTACGATCCCTAGTGAAACACTGCGGACCCGCTCCTTCGCGGCTGCGACCTGTCGCAAAAAACAACTGAGCGCCCTCGAGGCCGTGATCCTTTCGTAGACAAGAGCTTATAGATCCGCGCCTGCGGAGCCACGATCTCGTCTAAAAGACAAGGATGGATCTGCGACTTCGAGGCCACGATCCTCTTATTTGTAGAGTTATGCGCGCGGCCCTAAATTCTCAACGTCGGCACTGCTAAGCGAGGCGAGAACGCGGAACATGAGGTTCTCAGGACCCCCCTCCAAAGCCCCGGATCTGGCCGAAATCGGCACTTGAACGTCAGCCTCAACATGGCAACTCGATTCAGATCGATCGACATTCTGGCCGTCGCCCACATGCAAACATGGCGAGGACGACCACGCTGACGACGAAGATGCCAACGGACATCGGATCGGAAACGGTCCCTGTATTGGATCGGATCGGATCGGAATCGGACATCGGAGATCGGATCCTGGGGTCCATCCCGGCGAAATGTGCGAGCTGCGTGCAGCGGTGGCGGCGAGAAACCTCAAAAGCGCCTCCAAACCTCCGAGACAACGATGGGGGGCCCCCAAACCGTGTGGTGGCAGACCGCGTGGTGACCCTGAAATTCGCAAAGACCTCCCTGCACCGTCCGTCACTGCACGGTTTTGGGACCCTGGAGACCCCAGTTGCCCGAGACATCCTCGGAGAACGACCCGAGTCCAAACACCGTGCGGTGACCCCGAATCCCCACTGACTCACCACAGGATGTGATCACCAAACCGTTTGGGGGACCCGAGGTCTCTGGAAGACTAAGGATACCTCCGAAGGCCTCCAGAGACCACAAGAGACAAGACCAGGCAAGACCCGCACGAGCATGCCAGGGTGCTGCAGGTGCGGCGCAGCCTGCTCACGCGTGCTACGGCGCGAACCTTAGCCCCATATGACTTCAGTTTCCCGTTGATTCAATGTTTAGGGTAGCTGCGATATCCACGCCCTGCCCCCAAAGTCATGAAATTTGCCAAGCGCGCCACAAGAAAATCGGAAACCTGGCGAAAACCTCGACTCTCGAGCCTCGGCGGTGACAGCGGCGACGCTGGCGCTGGCCTGGATGCGGCGAGGAACTTGTGCTCAGCGTACCGTGGCGACGGCCCCGGCGGCACGCTGTCCCCTGCGAGCGGATAGCGTGTCGCCCCGCCCAGCGGGGCGGGAGGCTCCGAAAGGCTCGGGACTTTGACGCTCGGGGGCCACGAAGTGGATAGCGTGTCGCGCCGAAGCGCGGTGAGCCAGAACTGGCGGAACCACATGCTGTCCAGAAGTTCCAGACCGTACTCGATCCTCGACCCTCGAGGGTCGGGGCTGAGACTCTCGACGTCGATGGCGGCGGCGGCGACGACGGAACCGGTCGGCAGCTGGCGGGCGGCAGCGCGCGCACGCCTGCGACACGCCGCGGCCGCCCAAGATCTGCACGGCATTGTCCGCCACAAGGTGGGTCATCCGCGTGACGGAGTACTCGGCCCAGGACGACGGGGTGAGAGAGATGGGAAGAGGGTCGAAAGGAGGAGGGGAGAGGAAGGGGAAAGGGGGGGGGAGAAGGTGAGGGGAGGGAGGGGAGAGGGAGGGGAATGCTGAAGGGAGAAGGAAGGGAAGAGGAAGGGGAGGAGGAGGAAAAGAGGGAAGAGGAGGAGGAGCAGGAGGAAGAGGAGGACGAACACCTGAAGAAACAACATCCGTCTTAAAAAGCGGCCGTAGGACCCGCTGACAGCGGAAGATTCAGTGCTACCCTTGGTCCACGAACAAACGCAACTTACATGTTACGGGCATCCTGGATCAGAGCCACTGCGCTGTTGACTAAACTTGCACTGGAACCATGGTGATGGGGAGGCCTTCCTCCTACTCATCTGTCCCTGTGACTCTTCCTCCTCCTCTTCTTCGTCCTCACCGGGAACACCGCGGACCGATCATCCTCCTCCCCCTCGTGCCTCCTCCTTCCCTGTCCTTCTTCCCTTCTCCAACCCTTCCTCGCCACAAATGGTAAAACCGGAGAGGACGGAAGGAGCAAAGAGGAGCAGATGGAGGAGATGAGAAAGGGGGATGAGCGGAGGGAGGAGGAGGAGGAGGAGGAGGAGGAGGAGGAGGAGGAGGAGGAGGAGGAGGAGGAGGAGCAGGAGCAGGATCGAACGAACACAATGCCCATGCAATCGCGACGCGGGTCATCCTGGCCGCATCGGGCAGCCCCCGAACCGAGCCAAGATGCCGTGCCCTCTGAAGGCTAGCCGTAAAGGGGCTTTCCAGCGGTGGGAGGTGTACCCTGCCAGAGTCTCTTTAGCCTACCCCCGATCACCCTGTGGGCCCCGGAGCAACATGGGGAAAATAGGCCCGGGCATCTGTCGCGGGCGTACCTGGCGCACCTACGACAGAAAACATACGATTGACGGGACACGAGCTTGTGCCCCGCTCCTATTGCTGCGTCGACCCTGGCAGCCCCCCAGTCCAGGATGGCCCGCGGAGGGGGGGTGGCCGTCAGGGGTGGGAGAGGGGCCGCCTCGGCCCCTGCGCCCGCACCGCCAGCCGCCCCAGGAGGCCCAAGGGTGTCCAGGAGTCGGGGGGTTCGAACTGTGGCTCAGTCCGCCAAGCTCCCTCATAGCCATGAGCATCTCGCCCCAGCGGTCTAGGTGCAAGAGGCCCTTCTTGTCGAGCCTGTTAGGGCCCTCTATGATGCCGTGGATGACATTCTGACTGCAAGTGGAAATCCTCAGCGGGGGTACTCCGTTCTTCAGCACCCGCAGTACTGCGTAGAGTTCCCCTCGCAAGATATACGCGTGCCAACTGTGGCCCTGGCGGCCCTGGCAAAGGCCCGTAGCACACGCACTCCATGTCATACCTGTTTTATCGGAGCGTCGTGAAGCTCCAGCCTGCTCTCTGCAGCGGGGGGTAGCCTCCGCACTGCAGGGGGCCGTCCGTGTAGATATGCTCTGTCGCGCGCCCCCTGCAGTCGCCCTCGTGCAGCCACTCGTCGCAGGACTCGATGCCCCACAAATTCAGCTCCTCTGCGGGGTCCGCCGTGATGCCGCGGCCCCAAAGGCCCTCGTCTGCACGTCCTCCCGGCCTGTGTTGGCGCCTCTCTGCGCTATGTGGCACCCGCCCACTTGCTCTCGTATGTGTCGTCTTGCGGGGCTGACGAAGGTCCTGTGACGGTCCATCCACTTCGCCACCCCGCATGCTCTGCATGCGTCGTCCGTCGCTGCCCCCTTGGCCTAGAGGCGCGCCTGTGGCCGCATGCCGCCACAAAACAGGACTCGCACTCTTGTGCGGTGTGCCTGCGCTCATCGCCCCTCCAGCGGCCGCTGCACTAGTGCCCTCGCTGGTGCGAGGAAGATTGAGGTTATGCCGAAGTCGCCCCCCGTGCTCCTGCAGCCAGCAATCCGCGAGCTGCTGCTCCGTGGTGGTGACGACCAGGTGGTGCAGCTCCTGCAGTCCGGTGCGCCGTAGGTCGTAGACTGCACTGCCAACTGTGATGGTACATGCCGACTGCGTCATCCAGCCCAATCGCCGCACCGTAGCAATGAAAGCTCCAGCTGGCCCTCGCACTGTCAGCCATGGTCACTGGCCCATCGCGAGCTTCATAACTCCGTTTTCTCCACGCCATGCTCAGCCTGCTCGCCAACTGCTCGTCGAGGGCCGCCTCCTGCCACGCCGCGGCCCACGCTAGGATGGGCCCGCTGTTGATCAGGTTGCCAGGGTCCACGCTGTCGCTCAGCAGCGTGAGTGGCGTGGACCTTCCCTTCGCATTGCCCTGCGTCGCCATGGCCGCGCTCGTCCTCAACTCGTCCAGCCTGCTGTCCGCCATGCCGGCGACTGACGATCCGTAAAGTAGGGCTGGCACCTCGGCGTGCCTGACGATCTTGCGCGCTGTCCTCCTGCCGACCTCACGGCTGCCACCCGTGAGGCCCTCGCTGCAAACTTGAGCGCCCGCTTGCTAATGGCGGTCACCCGTCTTCGCCTGCCCGCTCTTGCTGCGACGCCCAGGTGCTTCTCGCGCTTGGCGACTCGTACCCCCAGGCAGCGGGATCTGGCGTTCAGGCTGGTGCCCAGCTCGGTGGACGAGGCCAGGGCGACCGCCTTGCCCTCTGAGCCGCGCGAAACTGACATGTCCAGTCTTTCCTCGAACATGTGGATCACCGCCGCGATGAGCAGCGGGTGGAAGTCCTTCGCGAACTCGCGCGCTCCGTGCGTGGCCAGGGCGAGGTCGTCGAAGAAGAAGCAGGTGTCCGCCCACGGGAACTTGAGGACGAGCTCGTCTAACTCCAGGATGATTACCACCTTTCGAGAAAAAGGCGGCAGACCTGCTCCCTGCCACGACGACTCGCTGTCATGCCTTGCCGTCGGTGTAAGCGCCGTCCTGGGCCATGCGCCTCGCCATGCTGTTGATGCGCAGGACGACTCGCATGGCGAGAGGGTTGAAGTTCCACCGCCTCGCCACCTCCCACACCTTCCTGTGCGTGCCCCATTCGAAACACTTGACCAGGTCGAAGTAGGCCACCGCATACTCGCATCCGTCTGCCCGCGCCGCCTCCCAGCACAGCGCCTGCAGCCAGGCAGCGCGCTCCGAGGGCCGCCCTCGGCGCGCCCAGTCGTAGGCTCTCTTGTTGGTCACCTCCCAGCGGCGCGCGCACGGGATGCGGATAGTCCCCCACGCGCCTCAGGGGAGAGCTGGCGCCATTCAGGCCCGAGAGGGAGGAGGGGGGGGGGGAGCTTCGCTCTGTCTGTCGGGGCGGGGAGGGGGGGCTGACGCCACTCAGGCCCGGGAGGGAGGAAGGGGGGGGCTCGCGCCATTCAGGCCCGGGATGGAAGAGGGGGGGGGGTCGCTCTGTCGAGGGGGGGAAGGGGGGGGCTGACGCCACTCAGGCCCGGGAAGGAGGAGAGCGGAGAGCGGGGGGGCTGACGCCATTCAGGCCCGGGAAGGAGAAGGAGGGGGGGGGCGCGCCATGGGGAGGAGGGAGGAACTTGCGAGCGCCTCGCGGTCGCCCGCTGGGAAATTATCCCGGCAAAGCAACCTAACAGCGATGTGTAGGAGCACATCTGGAAGCATTCCCCTTAAGATTCATATGAGAATCCAGTTGTAGAGTTCTGCTGTTCTCGCAGTCGTAGTCGCATTCGCGATGACAGTCGCAGTGCCTCATCAGCCTCACCTCTCCTCAGCCTGCTCAGCCTCAGTCGCAGTCAGCCTCAGCCTGCCTCAGCCTCAGCCTGCATCAGCCTCAGCCTCAGCCTCAGCCTGCCTCAGCATCGGCCTGCCTCAGCCTCAGCCTCAGCCTGCCTCAGCCTCAGCCTCAGCCTCAGCCTGCTTCAGCCTCAGCCTCAGTCTGCCTTCAGTCTCGGCCTCAACCTCAGCCTGCCTCAGCCTCAGCCTGCATCAGCCTCAGCGTCAGCCTCAGCCTCGGCCTCAGCCTCAGCCTGCCTCAGCCTCAGCCTGCCTCAGCCTCAGCCTCAGCCTCAGCCTGCCTCGGCCTCAGCCTCAGCCTGCATCAGCCTCAGCCCCAGTCTGCCTTCAGCCTCGGCCTCAGCCTCAGCCTGCCTCAGCCTCAGCCTGCCTCAGCCTCAGCCTCAGCCTGCATCAGCATTCAAAATGTGGCCCGGGATTGAAATTCTGAGAACTCGAAAACACCGAAGTGGCCTACCGTTGGCTCTGGGCATTCAAAATCATGCCCAAGAATGGAATTCTGGGAACTCGAAAACACCGAAGTGTCCTACAGTTGGCTCCGGGCATTCAAAATCATGCCCAAGAATGGAATTCTGGGAACTCGAAGACCACGAAGTGGCCTACAGTTGGCTCCGGGCATTCAAAATGTGGCCCGGGAATGGAGTTCTGGGAACTCGAAGACCACGCAATGGCTTACAGTTGGCTCTGGGCATTCTGAATGTGGCCCGGGAATGGAGTTCTGGGACCTCGAAGACCACGAAGTGGGCAACTGTTTGCTTAAAACGACTTCCGCGGTTTCTCCCCGGATCCTGCCTGGACCCCCCTGGGGAGTCAAGATGCTTTCTTTTGACCCCGTTAGAAACCTATCAGTCTTCGCTGTGAAGTAAAAAGTGCGCAGGGCATTGACCACCCCAAGGGCCCATTTCTTCCGTTGGTTGTTTGGCGGAGGTTCTGGCATCACCAATCGCCTTTCTGCTACGTCAGACAGCAGAAATATCGTTTCCTCTCTACTTATTGGCAGGGGCTCCTTGAGAACCGTCTTCGATTTTACCCCCAAGTGCTTACAACGTAAAGTACTTGTTGAAAACGATGATCCGTTTGAATTGCCAGAGCTGCTGAGTCGCAAGTTTGTGGATATTTTTTCTCTGTCCTTCGCGCCGCGTGGGCCTTGATCCCAAATTGCTCCGGATATAAATTGCCCGAGTGCCGGAGGTGGCATTTGCTGCGCACCTCCGGCGGAGCTGCGACCACTTTGTTGGGTGCGGGTTATATAAACACTATATATATATATATAAGTATTGTGCACTATAGGATCCTATCAACGTGCACTAAAAACAGAGAAATATTAAACATATTTCTTAAACACAAAAAGTGAAAGAAAAAATGAAACAAATAGTGAAAATGAAAAAAAATAGCCAATTCTAAGAAAATCGCAAACCAGCTTGCTTCTCTTCCTTTCTCCCCTGACTTTCCGCAGCGGCAGGCCGCTTTTACATTGCAAAGTGCACAGTGCAGCGGTTTGGCCGCTTCAGAACTTTCGTTTTTAATCACGCCCAGAACGTTGCGCCCCCTCCTCCTCCTCCTCCTCCTCCTCCCCCCCCCCCTCCTCCTCCTCCTCCTCCTCCTGCAAAACCCCGAGGGGGGTTCTGCGCGGGGGCCTGGTAACAATGATGATGATAGGTCACCTTTATACTCCCGCACGGCGAAGCAAGTCTCGGTAGCTTCAGCCGTTAAACACTTGAGCCAAAATGGCTACGGGGTTACTATTCCTCCCCAGTCACCTGAACGCTTGCATGTTAACACCCCCCCTCGGACGCCAGTCCGCACTGGCTGACGGGGAGGTGTCTTCAAACGCAAAGACAAGTTAAACCAAGCAATATGCTGCACACAAATCGTTATAATGCCGAATTCGAAAGATCTCGTGACAACGTTTACGAGCACCACGTTTCTCAGACATGCAACATGAGCTCAAGTAAACGTTCTTGCGGTCACAGATTTAAACGTAGCATCCAAAGCTTACACGGCAGGCTAGCATTTATATGATGTTGATTGCTTTCGCATTTTATTCGCCAATACCTGCGGTAACTACAAAAGATGCACATGCACACAGATTCAGCTCAACAAGCCACTGCAACACGATTGTTAAGCCGAGTTAAGAAGGGAGATGAGGGAGAGCGTAAAAGAACAGCATGCCGGTCACCGGTCGCCGTTTACGAGCGGCGCGGGCGCCTCACTGACGGGGTGCGTGCGCCCCTGGACCTCGGTAACCCACGATGCCTCACACTGGCCGCTGTGTAGGGCGACGCCCTGTTAAGGGCCTGCATCGGGCTGTAATAGTCGGTGTCCAGGTACGCGTTAATCCGCCCCTCGTCATCGAGCCAGCACTCCTCGTCAAAGCTCTTGATGGACCCGTCAACAATGTTGTGGTAGGTGCCGATGGCCCTCCAGTAACTGGCGTGGGGGGCCTTCAACAGAGGTCTACCACCTGGATTGTTACGCAGGTGCTCCTCGACCGCAGCGCCGGTAAACGGGTTCACAGTCCAGGTCGGATCGGTAAGCCAGCTGGGGAAGTCGTCGCACGGTAACCATCCAAACCAGCAGAGCTTCTCACGATGGTCGCTTTTACGCTCGGTGATATGATCAGCAGGCCAATTGTCACGGTAAAGTGCCCTCATGGACCCCTGATCGTTAAGAGCGACATCTAAGATGGTCTGGTGCCAGTAGACTGGAGGCCTGTTGATGCTGCCCTTTAACTCCTCGGCGCTCCTGACCTCGAGGTCCTCGATGAAGTAGTTGCGGTAATGCACCTGGAGCCCGCTCATGTAACGGCAATAGAGCTTGGCAAGGTCAGGCGTCGCAAACCGAATTACGGTAACTCCAGTCGAGATGTAACCGTGCGGCCCATAAGTGTCTTCCACCAGATGCTTAACGGAGACCACGGTGGGGTTGCCGTGGGGCAGCATCCCTGCCCACGTTAAGAGAAGGCCGTTAAGCTGCTTCTCGTTCATCTCCGGCACCTTGTTGACGTACACCTGCGTGTCCGGGCAACTGTGAACGTCAAACCACGATGAGTGAAGATCGTCAACGTGGAGTGGTGGCACATATTCGTCGTCAAACAAGGACTGTACGTGCCCCACTGCGTCAACCCACTCGTCGTGCTTGGCCAACTCTTTCTCCGTCAACTGAGATCTCCAGCTGCTCGGGCCCTTCAACACGGAGTAGCCGATGAAACCGTAAGCGTGTTGGCCGTAGATGTCAACGAACACTTCGTCGTAGTCGTTAATCTCCCGCCCCGTGTTGCCCTGAATGGACCGACCGCCAGGGGTCGTTGACCCCGCCTTCGCCACATGCCCGACGAAGTTGCCCTCAAACCTGCGCCAGTTGTCGCGCGTCTTCATCGTTAATGCGACTACTTCCCTGGGGTCAGGTTCCGCCTTGTAGTTGACGTCGTGGTCCTCGCTCCTGTCGTTCACCATGGGCATGTGGCCGTTGACGTGGTACAGTGGGCGGTGCACGGCCCTGGCAATGTTCCGAGAGTATGCCGCAAGCTGGTCGTTCGTGCGGTTAACAGCTTGAGGCTGCGGTGGCGGAATGTGCTGGACCGATAACTTCTTGGGCCCCGGAGGCGGGGGCTTCATGCCGCTAACGCTGCTCGATGCACTTGACTCGCCAAGGCCTGGAGGAGGCGGCTTGGGCGCCCTCACGTTCACAACAGGGGCAGGACCTTTTGGTGCTTCGTCACGTTGACTGCTCTGCGCACGATCTTCATCCATCTTCATGCCGATCTGCAGTAACTCTTCCAATTCCCGTTTACGCTCATGCATGGCCTTGGGTGCTTTCCTGTAAACAGGTTGCGGCACCGTTGACTGAGGGATCTTATTCGGCGACATGGACCGACCGAACCCTCCGGTCTTGGGCGCGGTGCCGGTAAGGTCCTGAGCCGGGGGCGCGCCCGAGGCCACGGACTCGGCCGCCGCGGTGACGGCAACGGGTGGCGCCTTGGCGATTGCTGCCGCTGGGGGCAGCTCAGGTAACGGCGGAGGCACCTGCGGGATGATGGTAACCGAGGAACTGATCGGGTCATTCAAGAACCTCTGTAAACCTTCAAGTCTCTCGGTAACTCCTACCAACATGCGTAGTGCCGCATCCCGTTTGCCCTCGAAGTCCTGCAGGGGCGCGATGTTCTCGGTAAGGCGTCTGGCGGTGTTCAGGAGGTAACCAATGTTCTCGTTGATGCGCCTGTACTTGGTCGCATTCTCCGCCGTGTTAACCTCCGAGTCACGATTATGGATGTTCAGCTCCGTAATCGTCGCCATCAGAGCGTTAATCTCGTCTTGCGCCCTCTTGAGATTCTCGTTGACGTCGTCACTGGCGTGGATCAACGCAGCGTTCTGCCGCGTTAAGTCCTCGATCCTCTGCGCCATGTCATCGGCAGCCCTTTGCACCTCGTCAAC